TCGGAGAAGGTGTTGGGAGTACTGATGCAGCTTCACTCTTCGCCTTTGCTTTAGGTCGCTTGGGAGGATCACCTGTAGACGATGCAGCTGCTTCATTCTCCTTCTTGGTCTTAATGGGAGCAGCAGGTTTGTCAGCATCTTCCAGGGCAGGTGTCGTCTTGTTAGAGGACAATGACAGTTTCACTGCACGTTCTCTATCTTTCAACAGTCGTTCTTGCTTTCCTCTTGCTATGTATCCTTTGATCATGCCAGTTAGGGAAGCATAGGTCTTCTCAGGATGCCCTTCATCATAGGTACGGTATCGGTTGATATCGAAAGCCATAAGCTTTGAATGCTCAATCTTCCGGAACAATGTGTCACGCAGGGAATTTGCAGAAGGCAGATCATCATGTTTCATGTTGTATATGATGTCAAGCCACTTGTTGTAGAAGGCCTCAAGTTGGTCATCTCCATAGTAGTTGAACATGTACAAATGATGGGCGTTGTAGAGAACCTCAGTGTGGTCAGGCGACTTGAAGCTAATCAAGACCATTGCGAATAGTTCTCGTCCTTTGATGAAGTCCCCACTCCTCCCATACATTTGGTTCTTCATGGACATGTCATACTTCACTTGCATGGACTTGTCCCCGGCATTGTCAATGACTTTCCTCAAGGCATTGGAGAGCTTGGCATCAATGGATTGGAATCTCACATCGGGTGCTTTGGCCAGAGCCTCCAAGTCAGGTTGATCTGCGAGACACGGAGCTAGCCACGCTTTCCAATCTTCATAATTTCGGTCTCCACTTGCAACACAAACTTCATGAACGACACTTCCCTTCCAGGATGAAAGTTCAGTGGTCTTAGGCCAAGGTTGGAGACTGATCTTTTCGGCTTCCCTTAGAGATACGGATGATTTAGATCTATCCTTCTCAAGGTTCTCCAACTCCTTGACATTGGTGTTGTACTCGTTCCTGAGCTTCTCGAAGGCTTCAGCTTCAGCTCGGTATTCCTGCTCTTCATCATTGGCACGATCTTCAGCTTGAGAGAAGTTGTTCTTGTAGTAATCTTTCCGATCTTCCATCTTCTTTAACTCATCTTGAAGATTTCGAACTTCAGCATTCTTCTCTTGCTTCATCTCGTCCAACTCTGCTTTCAGTTTGGCACATTTCTCTTCACATTCATTCCGAGGCATAGCACTACTGGGGTACCCAAGTAATGTAGCCGGTTTGTTCAATGATGAAGACGAAGCAGCTTGGTTTTCCAGCCTCAGGGCAGCAATGGTGCTCGACATCTCTTCTACCTCAGCGAAACGCTCACTAGCCAATTGATGCATCTCGGTCAAGTGGCTTTCAGGAATGGAATAGTCAGTCGCACCTTTGATCACGAGTCTTCTGTCGTTCAACATCTTGATGGACTTACCTGCATCCATGTGAGCACGCTCAAGAGAATCCTTTTGGGCTTCAAGTTCAGTATGAAGGCGAGCAATAGCTGTATCCCTGTCATTGATTTCATTGTGCAAACTGTCGAACAAGTTACTCGTCACATTCGGATTGCTACGCTGCTACTCATGTGATCGATCTTGTTCAGAGCATCTTGATACTTCTTACCAGTTTCATCGAAATGTTGCTGGAAGGTTTTGAGCAGGTTCTCAGTGTCAATGAGTTCAGTTCTGTTTTGTAGGTACAACTTGTCAACTTCAGCCTTGGATTCCTTTAAGTTGTCACGCTCACGCACGGCTTGCATAGACATCTCATATAGTGCTGCTCCATGCGGTGATCTGCTTGGCGAGGATCTTCGGGCTTGTTGACAGGAAAGTTCATGATACTGATTCTTCGATTCAGTCAGTTGTTGTTGCATTCGATCTAAAAGACTTTGTTTCATGTGTAGTTCCGAACGTAGTCCCATTATCCTCATGTCCCGCATGCCACTTGATTCAGCTAGAGATTCTTCAGAAACCTTGCTCTCAGAAATCGCTAGTCGAGATTGTAAGTTTTCATTGTGGATCACCTGCAATCGAAGTTGTGATTCTTCCAAAGCTAAGTGATGTTCACATTCTGCATAGCGGTCATGTTCAGATCTTACTTATGTTACTACGGAACTCCTTCATGATCTCGTCCCTCTTCATGTCAGCAGCATCGAGCTCAGTTTCCAGTCGTCTGACATTCATGGCCATGGTGTGCTTCATTGTCTGGTTCTGATTAGCAACCTCGAGCATCTCGATCTGTAAAGCACATGTCTGGTCATTAGCGTAGCCGACCGCCAGAGCTTCTTGCTTTGCATTCATCTCTGCGTTTTCTAGTTCCAGTCTGAGTTGATTGATGTGAGCATTCGCATCAGCGCCCACATGTACCATAATTGCGTTCGCTTGTCCCATTTGTTCATCGAATTCCGAACGTAGTCGTGAATACTTGAATTCCAAATGAGATGCAGCTTCATTCGACATAGTCTGATACCTCTCCAACTCTTCGATCCTGTAGGTTGCACCTTCATCTTCTTGTTGTGCAGCCTGTAACTCGAAGTTCAGCATCTGGAGTTGTTCAGTCATTGACATCATCTCTTGATGAGTGGTGCTTTCCGGGAAGTTAAATTGTTGATAGGCATATGCTGTCGTCTCAGTCAATCTTGCCTGAAGTACGGATTCTTCTTCAGTAGCCTTTTCCAGTGATGTTTTGTATTCAGCCAATTCGCTCTGATAGGCAGTGAAGATGTCGCTACCACTCGACGGGGCGTTCACTTGCTGATAAGATCCTGTCCCTGATGGAGTAGCGTCCTGAATCGGCGAAGGCGGATTCGACGACGTAGTCTTTGCCTTAGTCCTTGGAGTCATCGGAGGCGACAATTGTCGTGCAGATGATCTTCTCTTTCCAGGTGTGCTGTCCCTATCTTCAATTGCTTGCATTGTCGAAATTTGTCTCCCTCTAGGAGCAACCAGATGTCGCCTGGGCTGGCTTGTTCTCAGTTCTGAGGCATCGCTTCCACCAGTGTCGATACTCTGTGAAGAATTTGACTGCGTGCCGGCAGCTGGTGCAACGGCATGTCCAGAGAAAGAAAATGCGTTATCACTGCTATCCTGTTCAGTCATCTGTAAGGTCCGCGGCTACCCGCTCGTAGGCTCCGTAGGAGACCTACGGCTGATAACCTGTGAATCGGAGGTTATCTCCCCGATATATGTTCTTGATTGTTTGAGAAGGTTATTGATCTCTCACCAGCGATGACGAACGAGTGGCAGTTTCGGCATTGCGGAGCTAGCAGTATCTTGAGCCAAAGGGGCATATCATGCATCCCTTTGGTCATGGATGATTAAGGGGATATTTACATGGGAGTATGTATAGTGCTGTAGTCTACATCCCATTCGCACTTATAGACTAGTTATATATACATATATACTACTTATATATATACCCTCTGGTAATTTGTTACATAGCTATTGAAGCCATGGCCCAGTCGAAATAGTTGATTTTCCCATTATGGCCATTATCAATAGCTATGTAACAAATTACCAGAGGGTAATACATTATATGTATATAATACATGATACATATGTAAGTATTTTTTTTTTTCTATACATACCCTCTGGTAAACATACAAAAAGCTATTGAAAATGGTGATAGAAATAGTTGATTTACCCAGCTAGAAAATGGTGGATCTTTCCAGTTCGTTATGTGGCTGTTTACCAGAGGGTGTATACATGTATATATATATATACTATCATGTGGTTGGGAAACTCCTACTAGCTCCAACTGGCTCCCCATTTTTCATAGGGAATATGGATAGCCCTAGCTCCTCAGCTCCCTCCGTTCACCACTGGATAGTATGTATATATATATATCCCTGTTTTTTGGTTGATTGAACCCCTATAATCACCATGAAATACCATGAAAAACCATATTAAACCACCATGAAATCCCATTAAACCCAGATTTTTTCTATGTAAACCTCCATTTTTCCTATGGGTGAAACACCCTGAAGCATCCGAACTCACATGACAAACCGAAGGGCGAAGGGATAGTCGTCCAGGGCCATTCCCGTGGTACCGAAGCCCAAATCCATCGCCTCTGCCGCGAGAAATCCATTGAGAAATCCATGGGAAACCCTAGAAATCATGGGAAAACATAGGAAAATATAGGAAAAACATAGGAAAATGAGGAAAAACATAGGAAACTGTGGAAAAAAATAGGAAATTAATACTACAAATGTGGAGGTTTATAGGAAAATCAACGAATTAAATGACGGATTTTCAATTGGGGTTCCAAAATCAGCCATTGCTCTGGTGGGTGAAGTATCAAAAAATGGGCGTGGAAGCAGAATATGAGGACCGAACTGATTTCCAACACATGGATCTGAGGATATCTGTTGCGATAGGGGGATAGTTACCCTAATCCTAAGCATCATAACTTGCTGTCGTGGTGGCGTCCTTGCAATTTTTTCCAGATTCTACTCCATTATATCTCGTTGTATATCTCGTTGTATCCCATGATATATCCCCATGACTACCCAAAATTCTGGTGTTCATATTCATGTATCACAATCTTCATCCCATTATATGCTTGTAAAATGCTTGGGGGTGCGGAATTTTTTGGGATTTTTTTTTTCTTGTTTTGGGAATTTTATTTTTTTTTGGTCGTGGGCACGGTTTCCTCACTTTTTCCTTGTTTTCCATGACTTTTCCTTGGTTTTTCATTGGTTTTCCTTCATTTTTCCTCACGTTTTCCTCGTTTTCCAGTATTTTTCTTTGGTTTTTCATAATTTTCCTCACTTTTTCATCGTTTTCCATTACTTTTTCCTTTGTTTTTCATAATTTTCCTCACTTTTTCATCGTTTTCCATTACTTTTTCCTTTGTTTTTCATCATTTTCCTCACTTTTTCATCGTTTTCCATTACTTTTTCCTTGTTTTCCATGACTTTTCCTTCGTTTTTCATTGGTTTTCCTTCATTTTTCCTCACTTTTTCATCGTTTTCCATTACTTTTCCTTAGTTTTTCATAATTTTCCTCACGTTTTCATCGTTTTCCATTACTTTTCCTTGGTTTTTCATCATTTTCCTCACTTTTTCCTCGTTTTCCATTATTTTTTCTTAGTTGTTCATTGGTTTTCCTTCACTCCCCTCACTTTTCCTCGTTTTCCATTACTTTTTCTTTGGTTTTTCATCATTTTCCTAACATTTTCTTTCCTTCCTCAATAAGAAAACAGGAAGGGGGTATGGGGGAGAGGGCTGAGGAGGAGCAGTAGCGTCCACTCAGAATCAGCAAAAGCGTCTTCCCAGGCAACCTTATATACAGATATATAGATATATAGTGGTATATAGATATATAGATATAAATAAATATATATATATAGAGATATATAGATATATATATAGATATAGATATATAGATATATAGATATATAGATATATAGATATATAGATTTATAGGTATATAGATATATAGATATATAGATATATGTATATATATATATACAGATATAGATATATAGATATATGTATATATATACAGATATAGATATATAGATATATGTATTTTTAGATATAGATATAGATATAGATATATAGAGATATATAGAAATATAAAGAAATATATAGAAATATATAAGAAATATAGATATATATATATATAGGGATATAGATATATAGATATATATATATATATAGAAATATAAAGAAATATATAGAAATATATAGAAATATAGATATATATATATATAGGGATATAGATATATAGATAATTATATACATATATAGATATATAGATACAGCCATAGATGTAGATATAGATACAGATATAGATAGATATAAATAGATATAGATAGATATAGATAGATATAGATAGATGTAGGTATACATGCATGACTATATGCATATGTAGATCAATGTATTTACAAGTGTAATCAATATATCTGCCGGGTTTGGTTTTAGGGTTGGTTTTAAGGTTTCTTTAGGGCTGGTTTAGAGTCTGTTTAGGGTTTGTTTAGGGTTGGATTAGGGGTTATTTAGGAATACAATATGTACATACAAATAACTATACTTATGTGGACGCATATGCATGCACATGATTATTTACAGTTTATTTTGGGATACAACATGCACATACAAATAACTATTTTTTGTGGACGCATATGCATGCACATGATTATTTACAATGTATTGGGATGAAAGCTGTGTATATAAACAACCATATGTATATATATATATATACAATATAAATATATATATATAGTCTAACCAAACTAGTGTATTGAAATGTGTGCAAGTTTGAATTTAAATAAAAAAAAGCGGGAGGGGGGGGATTGGGGGAGAGGGCGCAGCGCCTCCCCCCCAAAGCAGATTGGAAACACCTATTTTCACATGCAAGGTGCTGGGTTGAATGTGATACTCAAGTTAAGGTGTATATACTACACGACATGCACCTTGGAAACATGTGGAATGTAGATTAAGGCACAACGATGCACAATAGTTTCATTTGATGTTATCATCGAGTTGGTTTAAGATCTCTTTATATAAGCTTTGGTTCAGGGTTGGCTTGGGGTTTGAATATCATCCGGATGATAATGCAAACCTTTTAGATAGATAGATAGATAGATAGATAGATAGATATAGATAGATATAGATATATATAGATATATAGATTTAAAGATATATAGATTTAAAGATATATAGATTTAAAAATATATAGATTAAAAGATATAGATTAAAAGATATAGGAATATAGATATATAGATATATAGATATATAGATATATAGATATATACAGATATATTGATATATAGTGGTATATCGATATATAGATATAACTATAGATATAAATATATATATATAGAAATATATGGAGATATATAGAGATATATATACATATAGATATATATATATAGAAATATATAGAGATATAGATATATATATATAGATATAGATATATAGATAAATATATACATATATAGATATATAGATATATAGATACAGCCATAGATGTAGATATAGATACAGATATAGATAGATATAGATAGATATAAATAGATATAGACAGATATAGATAGATATAGATACGTAGATATAGATAGATATAGATAGATATAGATGGATATATATAGATATAGATAGATATAGATAGATACAGATAGATATAGATAGATATAGATAGATATAGATAGAAATAGATAGATACAGATAGATATAGATATAGATAGACATAGATAGATATAGATAGAATCAAGTAGATAGATAGTTTGATAGTTAGATAGATAGATAGATAGATAGGCAGATAGATAGTTAGATAGATAGATAGACAGATAGATAGATAGACAGATAGATAGACAGATAGATAGATAGATGGATGGATAGATAGATAGATGATACTCAAGGTGTATCTAATGCACAACATGCACCTGGTGAACATGCTTCACTGATAGATTGATCGATAGATGATAAATGAGCCATAGGAGCGAGGAGCTCTAGGAGCAAGGAGCCATAGAAGCCACCAGGAGCCACCAGGAGCCGCAAAAGCCACCAGGAGCCACAAGGAGCCGCAGAAGCCACCAGGAGCCACCAGGAGCCACCAGGAGCCACCAGGAGCCACCAGGAGCCACAGAAGCCACCAGGAGAGGAGGGAAAAAAATAAAAATAAAAAAAAAAATTACCCTCCAATGCTTGGTGTCATTTTTATACCCTCCGGCAATCAAACATGGCAATGGAAAATTACCACTGGGAGGTTTCTAGCTGGGAAAATCATCACTGGGGGAGTTTCAAGCCATATTCGATTATCAGAAGGTACACCATTGGGGAGAAGGCCTCTCGGAAAATCACGGATGTCAGTGTTAAAGGGACATCCCTGATTTCATATATATCCTTATACATACCAGATATCCCATATATGTACCATACATAAATGCATATATATATAATTATATACATATATATATATGTAATTATATATATATCATCTACGGTATACCATATCTGTATTTATCTGAATATATATATATATACATATCATCTATGGGCTACACCATTTTTGTTGCGGAACAACCCCCCAAAAAGTCCACCCCAAACGTTGGGAAAACGCAAACGCCTACGCCAACGCTGCGCCAGATCTGCGCCTTGTACGCCAGATCTGCTGCGGAAGGAAGGATCTCCGCCCGCTCTTCTTCCAAGACATCCGGGTGCGATCTCATCCTGAGAGGCACTGCCGGTTGAAGGATTACAATGTTAGGGGGGATGGGTTTGTACATCAACAAAGATATAAAGGTATAAAGATATATATATAAGTTATAAAGTTATAAAGATATCAAAATATAAAGATATATTTTTTCTCATACGTGCAAGTAATCCCTATTCCCTAATACTAAACCGCTCCCCTAATAATAAACACAATGTTGGGGTTTCTCCTTTATGTTCCCATCCAATTCTGGGATCATTACCATTACTCCCATTACATTCCTATCACTTACTCCAAAACAATTCTGGTAGGAATAGTCACCATTCACCATTCATCTCTATTAAATGATAATATACCCTCTGGTAAACTCACAGTTTGCCATTGAAAATTGCCATTCAGTTTGTTGATTTACCTATTAAAAATGGTGGATCTTTCCATAGTTTTTGGTATGTATACCAGAGTGTAATCCCCATGAATTTCCATGAAAATCCCACAATCTACCCATTCAGCAAGGCGCCAGCAGCACTGGATCTCCTTCGCTTGAACTTCCCATGTTGCTCTGGAAAAAACATGTGGAAAGTATGGGAAAATGATCTTCAAAACAGTGACTTAAATGGTGTTTTGGCCAGATTACAAAGCAAATCCACAGATATGATCAAGTATGTATATACTGTATGTATGTGTATATATATAGAGAGAGAGAGAGAGATTCAGATATAGATGTATACTACATACACAGCTCATAGCTACTCCAAAACAATCCGCCAATTCCCCCCATTTTCCAAGGATCAAATGTTTCATCTTCTCATTCGAGACATCACCTTCCGCGTCCACCGTCATAGCATGATGTTCTACATGATGCGGCTGCTCAGCCGCAGCGCACACGAGGAGTGCCAAAGATAGGCGAGCCAAAGTCATCGCGTCTTGGGCGTCTTGGCGCGATTGGCCGCGCTTTTTAAGGCCAAATGGGAATGAAATTTCTCAGAAAATGACCTATGCGTCAGAGCCAAAAGGCTGTGAGGAGAAGTCCTGGCAATTTCAGCGACCAAGATCCGCTCCATTCCGTTTTTCAGGATCAACTTCATCAAGTCTTGATGTTAACCCATGTAAACCCATAGTTTGATGGTTAAACCCATGGTACACCCATCTGGTTGGTGGTGACTTAACCATCTTGAAAAATGATGGAGTGAAAGTCAATGGGAAGGATGACATCCCATATATGATGGAAAATGAAGAATGTATAAAAATGTTTTAAACCACCAACCAGCCATATGTTCAAAGAAAAAACAGCATCCTTTCAACGAAAGAACTGATGAAAAACTTCGACCAAGTTCCCGCGCCACAGATAGGCTCTCCGCAGCCCATGAGTTCATTCCATCTGGCGATTGCTTCCCCAGATGGTGATGATTTGCAAAATCGCAAATGGGTTTACTATGATCCAAATTAATTATATTATTGGATTAGAATCACAATAATAAACCCATCATAAATTTGGATTATAATAAGAATATTATTGGAGAAGAATCATAATAAATTTGCAAATCAACAAGATCATTGGATGATTTCTTCTGATTATAATCCAATGATCCCCGATGAAAATATCTCCCATGAGTTTTCCGTGATACCTCCAAATAGATCCCCATGAATTTCCCATCACAAAGAATGAAGCTTGGTAAAAGTATAGTCATCACCAAAATGACTCAAAAAAAATAGAAAAGTAAAAAATCCTCCTAAACAAGGGGGATGTTTCACGTTTTCGACTTTTTTTGTGGGTTACTAGACTCAATGGTGCCCGAAGACTTAAACCAACCAGTGGCCGGGCTATTGATCCTGGTTGACATTATAGGGTTTCCAGTTTTTTCTCAGGTGTTTGCATTCTTTAGATTATGTATATATATAGTATAGCTACCCTCTGGCAATTTAATTTTGCTATAGAAAATCAACCACGTATAGATGAATTACATGACCAATAAAAACTATGATTTTACATAGATATGTTAAATTACCCCAGGTAAGAGTTATGTTCGAATCATTCAACAGCCAAATAGGGGGTCGGCCAATATTCCTTTCTTCACTGTCTGAAACTTCTTTATCTTCCGTGAAGAAAAAAAACTCGGATTACATTCGCAGATGCAAACCAGAAAGGCCCAGTCAGAACCCCATCCAAATATAGATATATCGGGGATATCCGCCATTCCCTATAGGATTTCTATCCCCGATAGAAAAAACCCATAGGGCTGGATAGTCATAACCCATTCCATATAGAAAAAAAACAACTTCCCTATCCAGCCCTTCCTATAGGATTTCTGCTGAGATATCTCAGATGGGTCACCCCAAAAAGCCCATGGAAAAAAAGAGATGATCTCAACATGGGCCATGCGAAACAGGGTGCTTTCGAAGGCTTCAAAAATGTTGAAACGCCATGTTTCACATACCCATCATGTTGGATGAAATATCAATTTGGATGCGTTTCATCCAGTTTCATCAACATTTTTTCCTGTTGCAGCATGTCCAAAGTTTGTCGATTGGCTTTGTCCAATAATTTTTGGTGCCCCAAAATCGATGTTAAATTCGATGTGAAATCATTGCATTCCCATTCAACATCTTTTCCCATGGTTATACCGTTATACCCCGTTAACAAAACCAAATAGCACATCAAGTTGGTCATAAATCCCAAATGCATCCTATCCCCATGATCTCCGTTTTTTTCTTTCCCACATTTTCTACATAAATGTTATAAACAGAAACAGAAAACCATTGCCACTAGTTGGTTTACTTACAGTTTTTCATGATTTTTCCCACATTTTTTGGGGTTTTTGCCACTTTTTTGGGGGGGGCCACGGAAAAAATGCCAAAAAAAAACCGGTTCGATCAGCGCCCGAGCCCCTCAGCCCCACCTTTGCGATAGAAGTGGACCGCCGGCACCGACAGCTCGTGGCACCGGACACGCCGCGGGCGCCGAGTGGTGGCGATGTCGGTTACCCCCGGTTGCTGGGTTGCGGTTGCTGTGGCTATGGGTCAAATCATGCCAAAAATCCATAGACCAAATGGATCCAAATGGGTCAAATGGGTTGAGGTTGATCCACCTACAAAAAAAAGATCTGTCTTGAAAACTCATTGAAAACTCATTGAAAAATGACAAAAGGGTTGAAATGCGCAAAGGTGAAGCCGTGTCTGGGTTGTTTGTTGATTCCGTGAAACTACCTTGAGCCACATCACGTTGTGCAGTGCATCTGTGGATCAGGGGACATAATTGAGGTATCCAAACTGGAGGTGCCCACTATATGTAAGGTCTATGGAAGGTATATGTGGGGAATGTCCAAAATATATCAAAATATGGCTTTAGATGGTACATATGGTACAGTAGCTCAAGTTTGGGTACCTGAAATGGGGATTGGAACATCATCCCATTAGACTGTAACTGGTTAGTTGATAGCTATCCATCTGGGTCTGCAATGGGGTATACCTCAAACTGCAACTTTGATGAGAAAAATCATGCTAGTTTTTCGATTCTCAGACAAATTCGTAGGTTAATTAGGCTAACCAAGAAATATGTTCTTAACGGCATAGTGACACCAACCTTGGTGAATGGCTACCCCCGGAAAAGTCGTGGGCTTGTCCCATTTGTCCATGTGGTTAAAAATGAATGGTACTTATGGTTGGCACTGGTGCACTTATGGTACCTGGTGATGTACTAGAATGAAGTTGCGCCATTGTGGTTCTCTCGAGAAATCCTAGTGCCCAGCGCCCAGCCCCTTTTCTTCTCAGCGAGCACTTAAGAGGATGCCGCCGCCCGCCGAAAATTCTCTGCAAGCGACAAGCAGCACCTGGGGTGCGACAAGTTTCTTTGCAAAAACAAGGCCTTTTTATATACCCTCTGGTAATTTAACATAGCTATTGAAAATGGCCATTTATAGTGAGTTTTCCCATGAAAAATGGTGGATCTTTCCATAGTTATGTTAACGTTTACCAAAAGGTAATCCGCGAGTTCTGCAGAGTTTGACCATGTTTCAACCAAAAAACTCTGAATCACCAAAAGCAGACTATGCCGACTACGTCGCGTAAGTCCCCCTAACCCGAATCGCTCAGCGCTCAAAACTCTACACATGAATGATCCACACCATGGCGGGGATAGGTCGAAGATCCCAAAGTCTGTGAGGCCTTGTCATTTGCAGCCTGTAGTTCTTGTCCTTCAGCTCTGGACCTGTACCTGCAGTCATGAGACAAGCAGCACAGGTCTGGTGTTTGAGACAAAGGGCTGGTTTTTTTTACCAATGTTTTTTCCAACTACAGGAAGCAGCACACAAAGAAATGACCGCCTAGCCAACTGAGCCACCAAGTCTCCCAACAAAGCTCGGATTTCTTCCTGCGCTACGGATGTGGATGAGAATTTGGTCCAAATCTGTACCCTTCAAACATCAAGTTTCCGAGTCCAGCAACGAATATGTCCTCTGCACATCTTGCAGCGGTAAAATGATTCTCTGCACTGCAGTGGAAGCGGAATTCGGACCCTGCACGCGGCCATGATACATGCAGGGCGTGCAGTCCTTCGCTGTCGAATCTGGGAGTTGACACTCGAGGGCGTTCAGCTTTTCCTTCTGGAAATGATTGTGCCCCAGAATTTGCTGAATGCACCCCAGAAAAGTTGCCCAGAATGCCACTCCATGAAATACTTCTATGACAGATCTATTGTCATGTCAGTTGACACCATGCCCTAGGTTAGGTTCTTGTCTCACAGGAAAAAAAATGTGCATAATGGTTAGTGGGCCCAAATAGTGAAGAAAATCAAAGTGGTCGGCCCGGAGAGTGCTCCCGTTTCGGTGAAATGGTTACTTTCCAGCAATCACAGATATCCTATTTTGACATCACAAACCATCACAAATAAAGGAGGAGTGCACAGCTGAACCTCCAGGAAGTATCATGCAAAATTCTGCTTCAGAAGTTCAGTGCGCTCATCACTGCAGTTTTGTTTCATTAGACTTGCAGTTTTGTTGCAGCTCCTTGCCGTCAGCAGCGTGGCCCCGCTCCAACGGAAGAAACCCAAGGACTTCTGCACCTTCGGCAACAACGGTGGGGAAGGATGGTAGATCCAAGATCAAAAAGGGACATTACCCTACGATACTGATGTTGATATATTTATCCCAGGTTTTAACTCAAGATATCATTTTTGATGAGCTGCAAAGGTTCACCTGTTCACATTGCCGGTCGAATGGTGAGATGTCGGGACTGACAAGGGACTCAACCCGTGAGGTTTCATGACAGATGTCAATCCCAACCCTCAGCACGGGCCTAAACTTCCGAGTTGAGCTTACTCTCCTTTCAAGGAGACAAACCGACCCATCTGTGGAATCTGCGGACAAACTGTCATCTTTGCTTAGGACCTAAGGACATGCGGCGCGCCAAACTGTGGTGTTTTTGCCTCCCAGTATCGTTTTGAAGCGTTCCCGGTCGCTGGAACTCCAAGTCTGCACCGACGTTCTGATGACGACACCAGGCTTTTCATGTAGCGACACCAGGCTCAAAAACCAGCAGTGACATGTGCGAAAATGATTCCAAATAGCCAGCTCCAGTAAATCTGGATGAAATCAAGTGCATCAAGTAACTTGAAGTATATCGTATATACCGCATATTACCTGTAAATCATTGCTATAATCTCATTGTAATCTGTTCATAGAAAGGCTTGTAGATTATTGGGATTCAAATCAGCCACAAAGCGCCAGGCGCTCAGGCTATAGCGAAAATTGAAATGCGCGCCATTGCGCACCATCTTCACCAAGTGATCAGCTGGGTGAGATGCAACAAAGATTGCCAACGCTTAGGGCTTAGGGGAATGCCCAAACGACAGTCAAGAGAGGACACTGCGCAGCTGTGGTGGTTTCAAGCTGCATCTTCATGTTCTTGACTTGAAGCTCTTTTTCGTGCCACCAGCAAAAGCCATGTCCAGTCTCGTGTTTGGATGAGCAAGAAGTCCATGAGACTCCCTCCAGTTCTTAGGTGCGACATAGAAGCCAGCTTCTTTTAGCTGCTTGGTATTGTAGTGTTCTTCCAATTGCTGGCGCTTGAAATGAGACTCTTTGAGCTCCTTGGCGGTGAAATTGGCTCGTTTCAACCTCTTGACATCAAAATAAGCCTGCAACCGGGCACTTGTGATGCCAGCTGCTTTCAAACTCTCCGGGCTGAAGCCAGCATCGATGATCTCCTCTGCACTGTAATTGGATTTCAAAGATGATGCTTCGCAGCCAAGCTTTTGAAGTTCCAAGGCGGCAAAACCCGCACTGGCAAGCTGCAAATCAGTGTATTCACCAATAAGCTCCGATGCAACGAAACCAATGATTCTCAACTGCGCGGCTGTACAACCATCTTCCTGAAGCAACTTGACTGTAATGCCATGTTCCTTGAATTCTTGGGCAGTGAAGCCAGCTTCTGCCATGGCTTTGGTGCTTACAGCATCTTTGACTTCAAGAAGAGTGAAACCAGCATTGCGAAGCTCGTCACAACTGTACCCCGCCCTGGCCATGGATTCGGCATCAAATCCAGCTTCCCTCAGCTGGCAACCAGTGCATCCAGCTTCTTTGAATTGCTCCGCATCTGGCCCATTTTCCAGCACTTGGATAGCCATCCCAGCATGCAATTTCTCGGATAAAGTGTATGCACTATCAATGAAGAAAGCTTCACTTTCTACCTCGCGAAACTCCTTTTTTTCCAAATTGTTGATGGCATCGAGGACTTCTTGGGCAGATTTGCCTGCTTCTTTGAGCTTCCTGTATACACACAGGCATTTTGCAGCTGTAGCTACTGCATCCTGGACTGAAAATCCCCAAGCCTCCGCACATTCAAACGGATAGACATGCCAGAATGCATCCAGCGTTTTGCCAGCTTGCAGCAGCTCAGAGATTGAAAAGATGTCATTCCAACTCTCAACTGGACAATGTGCACACAATTTTCCCAGGTCTGTGCTTTTCTTGAAGTCGATGAAAACCTTTGTCCACTCTTCCCTCTCCTCTTGGGGGAGATCTTGGCTCAGCCTCTTACCTCCCTCTTCGATCAAATGATCCAATCGAGATGGGAAAGCAAGCAAATCACGAATCCTGCACCCGTGATATAGAAGCTGTGAAATGGAAAACGCACTTTGAAAATCCTTTAAAGGTACTCCATCGTTCCTGAAGTCAGGAACTTGAAACACTTTTGAATTCTTCAATTTTGTTGCTGTGAGGCCAGTGTCAAGCAATTGTGATGGTGTGTACCCGTAGGATTTCAGCAATTTCAAGCGGAAATTGAAATTGTGCTGCTGCAATTTCCGGGCTGGTAGCCAGTACAGACAAAATGCCGTTTTGAAAGGGCGTCTTTTGAACATCTCTGCGAATCGGCTACCCATCAACACCACAATCACCTTTTGCACAACAAATGGGTCCATGCCTTCCATGGGCATGGCGAAAGCAGGGCTCAGTGTGCTATGTTATACGGAATAAAAGGGAACTTGAGCCTGCGATACATCAGTAAAGCCTCAAATCAATTTCCATCCAAAAGTGGTAAAAGCATCCAATTTAAAATTTTGGTCATCTTCAAAATGACCTTAAATATTCAACATTGTTAACAATGAATCAACCATTTCTAGCTTTTGCACACAAAACAAGATGCAGCCCACGAACCCGAATGCAGTCACGTAGAACACTTTTGTGAAACAAGTTATTTGAACAGTCTTGTACATTCTTCCCTCTTGAAGCACTAGCGCGCTGTAGACTGCGGAATGCGGAAGAGGGTGGAGTGCAAAGTTTGGAGGTTGGAGTGTGAAGTGTCTTAAAAGTGTGTTGAGTGTGGAGTGTAAAAGTGTAGAGTGTGGAGTGTACAGTGGGGAGTGAGGAGTGTAAAGTGTAAAGTGTGGAGTATAGAGTGCGTAACGTGTAGAGTGTGGAGTGTAGAGTGTAGAGTGTAAAGTGTGAAGCACGCAATGGGACATGTCTGAAGTGCTGCGCCTGCCACGCAAAATGATGACAGAGATCTCCAAAAATACTGCGCCTGTCACGAAAAGTGCAACTCATCTTGTGAAAAAAACGACGCAAACAGTTGCAACAAGTAAATCGCAACAGAATCCCAACACATTATAGTCAAAGGAAGTTTAGGGGGAGAAACTTCCGTGTTACGGACTTTTAGAATGTCAGGGAAAGAGTTAGTCAAAGAAAGAGTTAGTCAGGGAAAGGTTAGTTAGGGAAAGAGTTCATCAGGGAAAGAGTTAGTCAAAGAAAGAGTTAGTCAGGGAAAGGTTAGTTCGGGAAAGAGTTCATCAGGGAAAGAGTTAGTCAAAGAAAGAGTTAGTGAGGGAAAGAGTTAGTTAGGGAAAGAGTTCATCAGGGAAAGAGTTAGTCAAGAATGGCATTGCACGTGGTGCTGGTGGAGGAGTTGCCGATGGAATTTTGAAGGAAGTCTCGCACGAAATGCGTTTTTGAGAGATAGCAGATGCACGAAACCCTATGTTTTTCCATACAAAGTCCGTCCCCGAACCTCGATGATCTACCTCTGCGGTGCGACGGTTGCGAGACGGTCTCGTGTGTGGTCGGATCATGGGCGGATCGGATCATGGTCGGATCGGTTCCGCATTGTAAATGGGGTTTCACCTGTGTTTCGTGCATTTGCGGTCGACAGAATTCCATTGTGATTTGCAACTGTAGGATCGTTCCCGCAATGTAAATGGGATTGCAAGTGGTGCTGGTGGATGAGTTGCCGATGGAATTCCATTGTGATTTGCAACTGTAGGATCGTTCCCGCAATGCAAATGGCATTGCAAGTGGTGCTGGTGGAGGAGTTGCCGATGGAGTTTTGAAGGAAGTCTCGCACGAAATGCGTTTTTGAGAGATAGCAGATGCACGAAACCCTATGTTTTTCCATACAAAGTCCGTCCCCGAACCTCGATGATCTACCTCTGCGGTGCGACGGTTGCGAGACGGTCTCGTGTGTGGTCGGATCATGGGCGGATCATGTTCGGATCATGGTCGGATCATGGTCGGATCGGTTCCGCATTGTAAATGGGGTTTCACCTGTTTTTCGTGCATGTGCAGTCGACAGAATTCCATTGTGATTTGCAACTGTAGGATCGTTCCCGCAATGTAAATGGGATTGCAAGTGGTGCTGGTGGGTGAGTTGCCGATGGAATTCCATTGTGCTTTGCAACTGTAGGATCGTTCCCACAATGCAAATGGCATTTCAAGTGTTGCTGGTGGATGAGTTGCCGATGGAATTCCATTGTGCTTTGCAACTGTAGGATCGTTCCCGCAGTGTAAATGGCTGCGTCAAGGTTGCTTCGTGCTGTGGCTGCATTGGTAATACTATTGTCTTTTGCAGCTGGACTTCGTAAATCGTATTGGAGTGGCTGCATGAAGGCTGCCACAGTTATTTGTCAGCAGATTTTCTCCACTTTGGCGCTAGTGATTTTCCTTCTAAAAATCCTTTTAAAAAGTGCTTCAAAATCGTCTTTTTTTCGCTCTGGCATCGAGATCCGGTTTTGGAGCTACAATTTCCGACGCCGTTGCGCGTAGTTCTATTGTGTTTTGCAACTCAGTCTCTGCAGATCGCATTGTAATGGCTGCGTCGAGGTTGCTTCGTGCTGTGGCTGCATTCGTAATACTATTGTCTTTTGCAGCTGGACTTCGTAAATCGTATTGGAGTGGCTGCATGAAGGCTGCGACAGTGATTTGTCAGCAGATTTTCTCCATTTTGGCGCTAGTGATTTTCCTTCTAAAAATCCTTTTAAAAAGTGCTTCAAAATCGTTTTTTTTCGCTCTGGCGTCGAGATCCGGTTTTGGAGCTACAATTTCCGACGCCGTTGCGCGTAGTTCTATTGTGTTTTGCAACTCAGTCTCTGCAGATCGCATTGTAATGGCTGCGTCAAGGTTGCTTCGTGCTGTGGCTGCATTCGTAATACTATTGTCTTTTGCAGCTGGACTTCGTAAATCGTATTGGAGTGGCTGCATGAAGGCTGCCACAGTGATTTGTCAGCAGATTTTCTCCATTTTGGCGCTAGTGATTTTCCTTCTAAAAATCCTTTTAAAAAGTGCTTCAAAATCGTCTTTTTTTCGCTCTGGCGTCGAGATCCGGTTTTGGAGCTACAATTTCCGACGCCGTTGCGCGTAGTTCTATTGTGTTTTGCAACTCAGTCTCTGCAGATCGCATTGTAATGGCTGCGTCAAGGTTGCTTCGTGCTGTGGCTGCATTCGTAATACTATTGTCTTTTGCAGCTGGATCTCGTAAATCGTATTGGAGTGGCTGCATGAAGGCTGCGACATGGATTTGTCAGCAGATTTTCTCCATTTTGGCGCTAGTGATTTTCCTTCTAAAAATCCTTTTCAAAAGTGCTTCAAAATCGTCTTTTTTCGCTCTGGCGTCGAGATCCGGTTTTGGAGCTACAATTTCCGACGCCAGAGCGCGTAGTTCTATTGTGTTTTGCAACCCAGTCTCTGCAGATCGCATTCTAATGGCTGCGTCGAGTCGAGGTTGCTTCTGCTGTGGCTGCATTCGTAATACTATTGTCTTTTGCAGCTGGATCTCATAAATCGTCTTGGAGTGGCTGCATGAAGGCTGCGAAATGGATTTGTTAGCAGATTTTCTCCATTTTGGCACTAGTGTTTTTTTGTTGCACGTAGGTTTAGAGCAGTGTGAAGTGTGGGGCGTAAAGAGTGCAGTGTGAAGTGTGAAGTGTGAAGGAAGCAGTGGGAAGTGAGAAGTGTGAAGTGTGGAGTGTGAAGTGTGAAGTCTGGAGTGTGAAGTTTAAGTTTGGAGTGCGAAGAGCGCAGTGTGAAGTGTGAAGTGTGAGGTTTGGAGTGTGAAGGAAGCAGTGAGAAGTGTGGAGTGTGAAGTGTGAAGTGTGGAGTGTGAAGTTTGAAGTTTGGAGTGCGAAGAGTGCAGTGTGCAGTGTGAGGTGTGGAGTGTCGAGGGAAGGACACGGTCGGGACAGGTTGTCTTTGAACTATAGGTCATTTATTTTTGGGAAACTTCCGCCGCCGGCTTGCCCGGGTCATTGGTTCTTTCATACCCTGACCATGTATCTCATGTCTCCATCATCAATGCCCGACGTTGTGCTCACGCCTTCGTCAACGCTGCTGGAAGAAAGCTATCCGCAGCCTGAATGCAGTCCAGCTTGGCTGATGCTCGGTCTAGAAATTGTTGATGCTGGTAACACTCGAAAGACCCAAACCTGGTGCATTCCAAAGGCTGCAGTGCTTCGGGTTAACACAAATTGCTGTGTCTTGGTTTACAATTTGCTCCATGCCATGGCTCGACTCCTCCGGTCTACCCGAATGGATCATCCTGCTCCCGAGCCAACCGACCCTCCAAACCCGGTCCAGAAATGGGGGATGAGCCCCAAGTCATTCAGCGCCTGGATTGCTGCCACAGGACCCGATGTCGACTGTGAGGGTTCTGATAAAAAACAAAACCTCATGGTTGAGAAAATCGGTTTCCCCCCTTGTTTGCCCTATTCTTGCACGCTTGACCCTTGACCGAAGTGGGAAGAATTGAAAGAGGCTGGAGCTGATGACAAAATTTCAGTTTCCAATAAAGGCCCAGGCTCCTGCAAGCAGGATTTAGTCATCTCCTTGGGCTGCGAAATCCTCGATGTGAGATGTGAGTGAACATATCCATGCAATGACAGGATGGTTTCAAAAGTCCCATCTAGACCAAGAATTGTAAAACCTAGGCTTTAAAACCCATGATTAAACCATGATTAACCCATGATTGAATCATGCGCTAAAGGTTGGCAAAAACATCTAAAACCGCATTGCCATTCCGTGGAACTGGTTCCAATTTGGGACCATTGAACTCACAGACCTGATCCTCTGTCACCTTTTTTCGTAGTCTCTTCCTGGGAGACCTTGTTCTTAGCCATTTAGGGTAGGAGTTTTGGGAGGAAAGGTTTGTTCTCACTGCCCTTCAAGCATCCCAAGTCAAAAGACATGAGGGTAGGGGTTCCATTCAACTTGCCATTTAAATCCATTTGGGATCTCTTGAGGGATTGGAAAGGGAATTCCAGATAATTTCATCTATATATTCGTCCGTCAAACACGCAGTGCCGAAGGAAGTAGCCAATATGTAGCCAATCTTTTTCGAGGCAGCACAGTGGCCGGTTTCTTTTGATGATTTGATTTGGACATTGGACCTCTATGCAACCATGCTCCGTCTCAACCAAAAAAAAAGGATTGATCAAAACCGCACCTTACGCATGCCAGTGACTTTGCCCTTCAATTGTTCATCAAACAAGACCATGAACTTTCTCAAACTGTAGAACATCTTGGTCTAAGAATTGCATGCCACTGCTTTTCAATCGGTCTTCTCATTCAAACATGACATAACATGACCATATATGCCATACAGTGTCTGGACCTTAAGCAAATGGGAGTTACAAGCGCACACATTTGACTTCGGAGACTGTTTGTCACCGAACCTTGCTCATGTCTTTGGCGACTTTCTCTTCAAAAACGTTTGCCCTTGGCTTTGTTCTTAGGCCCATCACTGCAAGCTTTTGTTTGAAAACCTGCGTCCTCCGAATCCTACAAACTTACAACCCTGAAACCCCTTTGCGGGCCTTTTCGTCTTGCATCTTAGCAGGTTTGTTGTTTGAGTAGGATCCACCTTCAGTTTATCCTTGGCCACCTGTGCTGGGACAATCTTGTTTCCTATACTGTACTCGGTAATCATACATCTCATGAACCGGAAGTAAGAATAAGTGTGAGAAGCTTAAGGTAACTGGGTTTGGAGAAAACCTTGGAAACCTTGGTTATTATGGGAACCATTGGGACCTGGGGGAAACCTACCAATTCAGGCCGTGCTAGATCTGTTTCATGACATACTGCGACAGCGACCCCAAGCCTTTGCTGTTGCGGAAAACATGAAGAGAAGACATCAAAGCACTGTGTACTACTGTGTATCATTCATGTCGGCAGGCCTTCATGTAAAACTTGAAGATGTAAAGCTTGAAGATGCGCCCTTGCTCAACCCCGCCCGAGGTAGGGGTGCACCTTACTGAAACAAGGCCCCAGCGCCCAAAAGCAAGCTGCAATTACGCTTTTATCTTGTCACTTGTGTCTTGTCATGCGTAGAACAAAACATAAAGATTGCCAGGCCTCTTTCGTTGGCTTCTTGTTGCTTAGAAGCTCCTTTCTTGCAAGTAAGGTCATAAGCTTTGAAACCACGCAGCCATGATGCTTCTGCAAGTGGCAGAATTATGCCAGTATCCTGAACTTCACAGAACTCATGGAGGAGTGATCAGACACGAGTTAAGATTCGCATGTGGAATTGTGGACTGCCATGGGCGAGTCAAGTCCTCAATCAGGTACTTCCCAGCGGCAGTGGTGTTCACCTGCTTAGCAGGTGCACGTGACGCGGAGGTTCATTCACACTACTCACGCTACTTTATTAATAGGTCTAAACATTGAAGGATGCAACAAGATGCAAGAGAAAAAGTGTCAAAAAGTGTCAAAACGTCCCTCCTCTTCGAATCCGAGAGATGTTGCCATGGCTGTAACCTTAGAGATGACGCCAGCAACACCAGACTTCAACGCCTTGAAATCGATCAGCCTTTGAGCAAAGTGCAAGCTTGCGCTCGGAGCAAAAGAAGACAGTAAGAATAGTTTTCAAAAGAGTGCTATGGAGACAGACACTGAAATGATCTGAAATACAGCTGTACATTGGAGATCTTGGGAGTTGTCGCCACGTTTTCTGAGGGCCCTGGCCCGCGGAACATCCATTTCTGCGCCATTGCCCCACGCAGATTTCGACGTGTCTCAGCCACGATCAGAGCTCACATGACATGATTTCAGAAGCGATGCAGAACAAAGCTTTGGTTGAAAATGACATCATCAGCAATTTTTGGAGGATGTCATCTTTGTGAATTTCACACCAATCATAATCATGAATAATCATGGAACAATTCATTTTGACAAAAAATGACACGGAACAGTTGAAAATATCACATTGCCAGACTCTGTTGAGCCCACATTGCCATTGAGGGCAAGGCCAGCACTGCCAGCAGGAGCACTCCTGCAACTTCAACTCGGGTAAAGCTGCAAGGCCAGCATTTCCCAACCTTGAATTCCATCAGTCGTTGTCAAAACCAAGATGGCTGCGGATCAACACAATTTGGCACCCGGAGTTTTTCTGAAATACATTTCTTGCGCAGACATTGAGGCAGAGACAGATTCCACTGTATACAAGTGCAAATGTACAAGTGATATGTCATGATACAGCATAATATCAGGTACTGTACTAATTTCAATTTTCATCAATGGTTCTGACTCTGATATCAGCATAAGAACTTGTTTTCCTTGCTGGACTTTTCACTGAAAGGGCCACTCTGTGCGATGCTACAATAATCTCAGCGAAGCCATAAAGCTTAGGATCAATTGACCGCAGCAAGGCGTTCAGCATTGCGGGCTGTGTGCTCAGCATTGCGGGCTGTCTGTTCAGCATAGCTGGCTGTCCGGCTGGCACTGCGGGCCTCTGATTGAGCTTGCTGCGCTGTCATTTCCGCCTGGTTGGCTCGTCTGTTTGCCTCTTCTGCCACGCTCATGGCCTGCGCTGCAGCATGACCAACCTCCTCAAACCTCCGATTTGATCGGTCAACAATCTTTTTTAGCTCTTCTCGATCTTCTTTCCGATTTTGCTGCAACAACTGCGTTACATATATGATGCCAGCTTGGACAGGCAGCTCGGGTGAGTAAATGATGTCGAGAGATGGACCACTCAAGACATTCAGAGGTAAACATCTCAGAACTTTGATGGCAAAAGCTGGCAAAAGCTGCTGCATCTCGATCCAGCCCAACCAACTTGCACCACCTGGCAACCAGGCCCACAGCTCTGAAGCAATCTTCTTCCTGCAAAGTACCCCAAACAGGGCACCAAACTTCTGGAAATTTATCCTTGAAAGTTGAATCCTCGCATTGTTCCATTCGCAGCAGAAGAGTGCTTGAAAGGAAGGGCTCGCTCCCTCTCAAATCCATGAGTTCCTTGAGCCATTCCACAGGTATGGTCTCGACGATGTTGGTTGGTAGGTTGGTCCCTGCAAAGCAAAGAGAAAATAAGGTCTGTCCTACCTGAGCATCACCAGTCTCATACAGCTCCCCATCTACAACATGAGAAAGTGTCTCTCTGACATTTTTGGAGGCACAAATGGCAGCATCTCCCTGACAAATGGCCCAACGCAAAAGGGATTGAATCTTCTTGTGATCTTCCCGAATGATGGCTACAATCTTTTCTGGTCCTCCCCAAAAGTCCAAGAGCTCTTGGAAAATGGCAGCGCGATGTTCTGATGCCATGTTTGCGAGGAAGAAGACAGAGATATCTTTTCCCAAGATGAAAGGTACAAATGACTTGTAGTCTTCCTGGCTTGCCCAAGTCAGCAATTTGGTGAGCCGATCGACCTCATATGACCTGGACAAGCATGCTATCAGAAGTGTCCTTGCCTCGGTGGTAGGTACACGGTCTCTTCTTTCACAACAAACGTCCAGGCAACGATCAAACTCTTTTGGTGTCAGTCTGTCCTCATGCGTCAGTAATACACCCAAAGCGAAATTTTCAGCACGGAGGCTGTCGGGCAGAAGAGGCAGCAATCGGTCGCCAAATGCAGCGGGAGCAGGACATAGCTTCTGGGCAGCAAAGCTCGAACTAAGTCCAAATCCGCGACTGCTCTGGAACAAAAACCATGTGACAAGGCTGGCTTCGACAGATCCTTCAGCAATGTCAGAAGATGCTCCCTCCATGGCGTCAAAGCGTCGCAAAAAAGGGCGAAAACTACCAAGGTTACAATGTCCATGTGGTTTGCTTTGGCAATCAGTTGCTTGGAGTGAACCATGATCCTGTCAGCCGTTTCTTTGTCATTTTGTTTCATGGCATAGCACAAGCAAAGTTGGCAATCTGCCACTGTCTTCAACCAGTGCAGGGAATCTGGAGATGTGTAGCCACGCAGCTGGCAAGCTTGCACCAAGAAGCCTGCATCATCCAATAGCTCAGCATCAGCATACCGCAGAGCTGCTTTGGAGTTCCGCATGATTTCCAATATAATTTCGCTAGACTTCCACACCGTTTTGGGGATCTGTTCAAAGTCCCTCTCAACAACCGTCCAGTCAGAAGTAATCCGTTCCATCCACAATGCCACTTCTGGGTTACGCAGTGCCAAGAAAATTTCCAGCACAACATCAGCGCTCTGAAGGGTCTCAATCAAACATGCGTCATGGAGAAGCCTCTGCTTGAAAGACCAGCACTGCTCACGAACAGGGATGCTGATAGTTTTTGCTAGTTTTTTTTGCCTCCAAGACTGTCCACTTTTCACCAACACCAATCTCTACTGCATCACCGGACATTTTGCAGACTCTCAGGGTCGCAACAGGCCTCTGGCAAGCACAGGTGGAATTTTTTGCTCGTTCCTTCCACTGGTTCATCATCAGCCACCCAAAGCCAGAGGCTCGCCACAACATCGTTCCCGGACAGTTGTGCCCTTCACCATGTGGACAAGACTGATTTTCCTGCCACTTTGGAATCTCTTGCACAAAACGACAGGAGCTGCACTCTACAAAGCACGTCCAACCGGCTGCCGACATGGCCCACAATCGTTTTTCTTCTGTGTCCGACAAGTGATGAGCATCTCAAACAACAACAAAAAAAACATAGAGCAAGGACTAAATCATAGAAGAAACGCTGTCTTTCCTTACTTGCAATTACTAAATTCTTTGTTTGAGTATCAGGTTTCAAAACTGTCGGGTACCACCTCGACCGCAAAAACGTTCACTCTGGTGCACACAGCCACCAAACTCAGCGAGATTTTACCGAAGCCGAAGAGGCCACGCAGAATTTTTTTGCGTTCTGATGCCTTGACACTGGAGTTTCCTTTCTGCCAAACTGCAGTCGTGAGATGTCGTGAGGCCTCATGATTTCAAAAAAACTTCTAAAAGTCATGTTGACAGATTCGACACATCAAATTTGACATGTTTGAATTCTGAACTTCAAGCAGCTGCACTCCGCATCCTTTTCTATCAAATCGGGGGAAGAATCAAGGTTTGAGATTCGGATATCTCATTTGATATCTGTACATGGATCTTTCCGACCTGCTGACATGGTTCCATCGGTTTGGGGGACTTTGGATGTCCGCTGAAGTCAAGTCGGATTGGTTCGGTTTCCACCTTCCCCCCTGTTATAGGTTTTTTTTTTTTCCTCTGGTTTGGCCGATTCGCACTAGGCACGGTCCTTACAATTGCGTAAGCAGTGAAAAGCAGTAGTGTACAGGACTCGTGTGGTCCAAAAATCTCCGGCAAATCATCACGAGAAACAAACCAAACAACAAGAACCACAACCAAAAACGACCCGCAAATCCCCCAGCCAGATTTGCGTTTCGCCACAAAGCAAGACAGCGAAGCAACAAAGAAAGGGGCAGGGCCCAACAAGAACCAAAACAAAAAACACTCAGATTTGCCTTGGATACAGCGACCTTAGCCACTGTATCATCCTCAAAAACATGCAAACTAATTAATTGCGGCGGTGCATGAAGTGTTGTACCTGATTGCCCAGACCGTCTTACCTGAGAACAGCAAAGGGAGTCCAATATTGTAGGCAGACTGATGTGTGGTTCGACAGAGGCCGCCTGTATGGACGATTTGTCAATAAATCAACTTCCGCATCTCTGCTGTTCACCCTGTATTGTTCAGCGTAGGCCAGGCAGTCTGTTCCTGTCAGTATACACCACCGCAAGGGACTGTAATCTATTTCCCCCCCAAAACGGGGAGGAGAGCACTGACAGCCTGCAACATGGTGTGAGCACTTGCAGAAACCGTCACGTGACTTGTGCCCAAGACCCTAAGGCCGTGGGTGAAAAAGTGGCTAAAGGCCTGACCGGCTCAGTACGGCCATGACAGACAAATGATGTTTCGACCATAACATGGGCTCGTGAGCACTTCCAGTATGATACTGCAGGTAGGTATACAAAAGTCGCATTCGCATTGCTGTAAGACTTGTGCACCAAAACGATCAGAGATAAGGTGGTTCGGTGAGCCAGCACCAGATACTCAGACAGGAGTCACTAGGCGTCATCGTCCCAGCAAGTTCTGCGGAGAGGACCGGATGCACAGGAAGGCATCTGTATATTCCAGACAAAGCCACTCTCCCATCGAGTGGGCCATAGGCCATAGCAATACAGAAAATCCGCACAACGAACCATGTGGGCAGGCTTTGCTGCACTCGGGCGCTCCAGACTGAACTGCAGGAAGCACAACTGGACAGCGCCAGTAGAGCTCACTGCAGTGCAGCCTAGTCATGGCTCTACCGGGAATCTACCGCCCCTCAAGAAAACACACAGGAAACAAAACACAGAGAGAGAAGGGCCCATCCCAATACAGCCAAAGAGGAAGCCACCAGACAAATTCAACACAAACAAACAAACAAACAAACGAATTCAAAAGGGGATCAACTCAACCAAAAAGGGGGGGGACGGTGAGCAAAAGCTGTCCCACCTCGGATAAATCCTTAGTCACTACCGGATAAGATCAATGTAACCATGGTGAAAAAATGGGTGACTGTGCAGAGCTGTAACCTCGGTATCCAGGCAACAGAGGAAGCAAAAACAACACACGCCCAAACAACACGAAACCTGCCATCAAGGGGGAAGCAAAGAGGGGGGAGCGGCCAAAGTACAACCCATGCAAAACAACAAGCCAACAGAGGAAACGAGGAGAGGAGCCAGGAGGCAGCAGAGGACAGAGAGAGAAAGGACACACATGCACAAGAAGGGGTACGAACGTGTCTTAGCGGAGTCCAGGAAGGGGACAAGGATCATACAATGATGAATACCTCAGTGAGGAAGCACACAGCACCCCAACAACACAGGAAGCATGGTGTAGAGGGAAAGATCCCCACACAGGGCCAAGGCCTTTGTTGCCATGAGACATGATGAGGAGGGGAAACAGTGCGCAACAAACACTCCACGCGCAGAGGCACGGCAACCAGGCCGTCGCCGGAAGCAACGATACCCAGAGGGAGGGACCAGTAAAACCTGGACCAAGGCGCCAACGAGGACCATCCGAGGGGGAGGGAGGGCTACGGCAGGCAGGGACCAAAAAAAAACCAAAACAGAATCAACAACCGAGGCACTACGCCTACTGTAGCTCTGCAAATTGCAACAACTATGGGTAAAACGACGAATTCACGTACCTTAACTAGTGGGAAGGGTGGGAGAGGGGTAGTCTCGTCAGTATTACGTCAGGGGAAAAAGAAAACAGTTACATCATCACCTATGATTGTCAGGCACCGGGTACGAGAGCATGCACTCATGCAGTGGGCTTCATGGTGTGAGGAGGCCTTAGTATAATCTAAGCTCTCGACTGGACAACACATTCTAAGCACTAGTGCAAGGGGAAAGCATGCTGCTCGGCTTGTTATGCCTAGGCTATCACTCCCACATGAAAACACATGAGTGTGGATACTAGCTGTTGGAGGTCTGAATCAGTAGGGGCCAGGCATGTGGCAGAACATTTTTGACAAGTATGAATGAGGAAGAGCTGTGTCACCTACTGCATACCAGTGCACCTGTCACGTCTTTGGACAGACACACCAGTGTGGAAGTAGCCTCCCAGGCATGGGTCATGAGGAACCTGACAATTATAAATGAGGAAGAGCTGTGTCCCCGACTGCATACCAATGCACCTGTCACGTCTTTGGACAGACACACCAGTATGGACAGTAACCTGAAGTAGAAATGACGAAAGACCAAATAGTGATTAAAGTAAACTCCCACTTCCGTTGCTGATGAAACAAAAGCCAATGTTGTATGAGGGACAAAGCGGAGTGAAACAGAAATGAGACACGGGGGAAAGAAGAGACAAGGTGGACACAAATAGGGAGTAAGTGATGAGAATAGGTGTTGGAGGGATCATGTCGTACCTCTCATGAAATGTTCCAAATAATGCTTCTTGTCCGATGTGATAGTGTCGTTCCATTCATTGGTGAGTGCAAACGAAACTGGGTTAGCTGCTTGCTGAGCAATAGCTCGCTGATGTAGCGCTCGAATCGCCCGTTGATGTTCATCCAGATCTTCCGGAGGAACCCTCTTGCGGACTTTCCTGTCTGGGAAGGTTCGTTCCCGCAGGTTGGCTTGCAAGGCATGTCCAGCTACATAAACTGCAGGTTGCTGGAATAAAACACGCTCTGCAAATCTGTTGAGATGCACTGTCCATTCAGCAAACATATGGCTGTGCGACAGTTGATTCCTGAGTCGCGCTACCGTTTGATGCAGGCTCCCATTGGTATGCCACAATCGCAACAGACTGTAGTTGGAAGGCCAATCAAGTGGGCACAGTGTGGCTGTTTCTTTCCATTTTTCAGGTGTAAGCCCTTCTTGAGAAGGTATGATCACTTCCAGAGTAGTGCGAGTCGGTCCCAGTGGTTGGAGACCTCGCATCATGCATGGTTCAACGAGCCCTGATGTGTATCCATGGATGAGCTCCTGGAAGCATCCAGCCATTTGAAAGTCTTCATCCAATCCAAGACGAAAGCCAAGACGAAAGCCAGGCATGGTTTTGGCAGCAAATTTTACTGCTTGGAGCAGCTGTTTTACTCCTTCCACTGGAGTCTCGTCACAGGAACGTTTCGGGCATGCGATGTTGATTTCTTGTGGTTTCTGCGCATTCTCAGGGGCATTCTCAAGAAGTTTGGGAGCAATTTTGCGCGCCCAGCTAGCCGGGAACCATGCCAATAGGGCAGAGGCACCACTCGTAAGGTCCACTAGCCCAGTAGTACGTCGATGCGGCCGATCAGTGACCAGGACTTTTACTGGGCCACTCGGCGCTCGACTCCGGTTCACCTCAGAGCTCTCAAGAGCCGAGCCGATGAGCTCAGACAGGATGGGCCGAAACCAGCACGTGGCATACAGCAAGCATTCAGTTTCTGGAGTCACCATGGATTCAGCCAATCTCATCAACGAGCTCATCGCTTGGGCGAGCTTTTCTGCCAAACGAATTGTGAGAGCCCTTGCCGTCTGCAGGAGGACATCCTCCATCGTGGCGCTTTGCCCACGCAACCACAGTTCACAGGCCACACTCAGCAAGATGCGCGAAAACTTGTCTTGGATGGCAGTCAAAGACAACGTCAATCTCGCCTGTAGCCATAACTGTGGGAGAACTCCAAGGTTTTCGGGTATGCAAAACGGGTTTCCGTTAGGTTGGACATTAGTAATCAGGATTGCTAGCTTGTCAGCTGCACTCGCGATCTCATCTTCAGAGGGATCTTCAGCTGCATCAGGTATAGGTGGGCACCATGCAACTGTAGGGTCCTCTGGATCACTCTCGTCATCGGTAGAGG